TAATATATTAGCAGTATATTTAAAATATACTTAAAGTATATTAAAAGTATATTTTTAATATAATGCTATGACAGAACTAGTACACTCAAAATATACTAATCAAGCTCTTGAATACTATATAAAAAAGTATACTTAAAGTATACTAAGTACTACTTGAAGTTGTTCCAAAAAAGTACATTGAAGTATACTAAAAATTGTAAATTAATACTATTTAAATACTATTAAAATATACTAAGCACAAAAAAGTTGTTCCAATATAGTACAGTTTAAGTACATAAATCAAAGTATGCTAAAGTATGTTAAAATTTAATATACTAAAATATACTTTTTTTTTTTTTACTAGGGTGGACGGGCTCACCTTCATGATAAAATAAACTGTCTCAAAAGACATGACATCTAATGTGTAATCTATAGACCATACCCAACATTAAAAACTTTTCAGTTTATGCTGCTAAGTGTATGTTTAGTCCAGACAAAACATACATCTGATTTTGTATGATTTGTACTTCAAATACTGTTTGATATCAGTTTTGTCCACTTACTTCATTGCCATTAAACAAAAGAGCTGCACTGTAACAAGGTGACTAACACAAATAAACTTTGTTCAGCAGAATTTTTTTTTCAGAAAATGAATTAAATATTAAAGCAATTTTGGAATGGATAAAATCAGAAATATATGTTACTCACCAGATAAAACAACTTCCAAGGCAATGCTTAAATAAGAGGGTGGTTGTGAGTGAAGAGGATCTTTACAGACTGAGACATCCAAAACATATTACCGTAGAAAATGCATGAACTACTATAACTCAAGAAAAATACATTTCATGTAATTTTTACAGGTAGAAAATGTTGAAAACACTGAAATTTATTGGGAAAATCTTAGAATTTTTAAAATTCAGAGAAAAATACTGCAAGGCTGCAAGCAGTTAATTGCCCTAAAATTAACAGCATTAACTGGCCATGATTACAAATTTTGCTTATGTTTATATCCACAATGTAAAACCATGAACCAGACTTCAAACATTATTTGTACAGAGAATAGAATGCTGGTATGATATTTTTGTTTAATATAATTTTCTTTTTTTTTTCTAATAATTTTATTTACAATGCCCTTTATATATCCAATTGAAATCTTAAAGGGCACATTCACCCACTGATGATGACAAGCTACTGGATTGTAGGCACCGCTTACTGGGCCAGTCTGACAGAAGTGAGGATCGGCCCTTCTGACCACAGCAGGCGAGGAGGGAGAAGTGTCCGGCCTCACAGACAGAGTGAGCGGGCAGACATAATTTACTGTAAAGTTGATTTTCACAATAAAATGTCATAATCTACTGTGTTTTTCACTGATGTAGTCTAATTAAAATCTAATGTATATCTGTTGTTTTTATAGTAATTTCCCATAAACAGTTTACAGTTGTGAACGGTTAAAGTGATGGTTGCCAAAATATTATACTGTAATGCCTCAGACAGTAGGCCGTATTTACTACAGCAAAATTTACAACTAACAGTAATTTACCATAAAAAGTTTTTACAATAAATACCATAATGTATCATGCAGTTCTGCTGTGTATTTTTATGGTACATCTCCAATGTTTCATAGCAATATTCCGTGAACAGTTATTGTTCTGAACTGTTAAAGTGACCATAATATACTGTAATGTCTTGTACGCTATGACTGTATTTACTAGGGTAAAAATCTGCCAAAGACAGCTGCGGTATTTTACTGTAAATTGGAGACATTTTTTTACAGTGTGTATTAATCATAATTTTTTTATTATTGTTTACTTTGGAATTATTTTCTTTAGAATTCTCCATTTTGAAATGCGGACAAATTACTGCATTTTTAAGGTAAAATCCTGGCAACTACAGCTGCTGGTAATTTACTGTAAAGTTAATATTTTTACAAAAAAATGTCTGAATATAACTCAATTCTGCCGTGTTTTTTACTGATATAGATTAATTACGTTTACGGTATGTTTTTATAATTTCCATAAACAGTTTACAGCTCTGAACTGATAAAATGACGATTGCTGAAATATTAAACCGCAATGCCTCATATGGTGCGGCTGTATTTACTATAGTAAAATCCTGGCAACCCTACTGGTAATTTACTATTTAATGTGTTTACAATAAAATGCTGTAATACAGTTGTTCTTATATTTGTATCATACCGTTTTAGACCATTTATAGAAAATTATCCATATTCATAAATTATTTCAGATTTCTGAAACTATATCCAAAGATCCTTAGTCAAATTTCCTACAAATTATGAATAAAACTGTACAACAACTTTTCCAAACTGCTGCCAACAAAGCAAAGTCTGTAGTGTCTGAAGATGTTAATTTACTCCTTAGTAAATCCTTTTAATTTGTTCTCGTCATCCAGATGGATAATCCCCTGCAGCAACAGATTACATGGATTACCATTCAATCCCTCTAGGGAGGATTAACTTCTAATTCCACACATTTGTGTGCAGGACTTTACTTTTTGGATTTCTTTTTCTAGCATCTGACAGGCAGCAGACAGAAAAACCAAAGAATCACACAAGTGACACCAACCAAAGGTTTACAGTTATTACAGTTATATATATATATATATATATATATATATATATATATTGTGTGTGTGTGTGTGTGTGTGTGTGTGTGTGTGTGTGTGTGTGTGTGTGTGTGTGTGTGTGTGTGTGTGTGTGAACCAACAAAGTTAGCTTTTACACTAACATACAGCTCTGGAAAGAATGAAGAGATCACTGGACCTCATCGTTATTCCGCCAAATATTGATTTCTGAACACTTCCTGAGTTGAACTCAGAGACAGAGTTAAACTAACTGTTTGATTCTGCTTTAGAGTTAAGCAGTGTTTAGAAACAAATACGGTTTCTGTTTCTAAATGAATATGAACTTGTTTTCTGTGCATTTCTTGAGTTCTGAAAATACTGCATGTTTTTCGTTATGTTGACCATTTCTCATTTTCTGCAAATAAATACAAATGTGTGCTTGGAATTTCGGAGACATGTTGTGAATAGTTAATAAAATAAAAGAACAATGTTCATTTTACTCAAACATAGATCTATAAAAGGTAAAATCAGAGAAACTGATCATTTTAAGTGATCTCTTAATTTTTTCCAGAGCTGTATATGATTTGGTTGGTTTTTATCAGATTTTTTTATTCTTGTAAGCTTCTTGTAATATTAGAAGGCTATAATTCCTCTTCATATTACTCTAATTTAGCGCCATTACCGTTTTTTGCCTTCTGTTCAATCTGTTTTCTGTTAGTGGGGGTGTCAGACTGATCTGGAAGTCTGGGGGAGTCCAGCCGGCTGCGCTCTGTGGAGCGGGAGGCTGCATGGGAACCAAAACACTTGTTCGCTCATGCAGGTCGCCTCCTTCTCGACAACAGTACGTGAAAGAAGCTCCGCAGAGCGCGCTGTCACGGTGCGTTAAAAACCGGCACGGTTCGAATTATCATTGGATCTGAGGCGAAAGCGCAGGGGAGGAGGGCTGAGGTATGGCGAACAAAAACTTGCTTTTAGATGAAGGAGAAATACACAAAAGCTTTCTTTTAGAGTAACTGTTAGAATTATTTACAGAACGCCACCAATAAGAACAGAGGGAGGAAACAATTACTCAAATATATCAACCTGATCCAGCTGCTGGGTAACATCTGCAGAGAGCATAGAGCAAAATACGAGGCCACCCTGCGTGTCCGCTCATTTAAGCATTTTCCTGAGGCGGCTTGTCAACAGAACAAATCTCAGTTTCACTCAGTTGATGAAGGATGCTGTAGCAGTCAGGGTGGAGCGGAACCCTCCCGACAGACGTGCAGCCCAGCTACAATAGCTTCATCATGTGGATAGCCACGCAGAGCACATTTATTCTACGACATGTTGCATTGACTGGCTAAAGAGCGCAAATGGTCTTCTTCCCACGGCCACGGCCCGTGTTGCAGCTTCCCTTTCCTCGACCTATGGATACATGCAGGCTGCGCGCACACGCAGCTTGTCTCTGCAAACCTGCCATTCTGTTTGCAGGACAAAGTGAGTCCTTTCATTGATGGCCTTATTAGATGTGTGCTCACAGATCGGGGGCAGGTTTTTTTTTTTCGCTAGGCCTATACTGTGGCGTTCTTTGATTTGTCGCGTGAGGTATCAATAGAGCGCGCGCCATGGAGCCCTCCACTGAGCCATTATTTGTCAACCAGTTCCTTTGATCAAACCAGCTCTGTCTAGCACAAGTGGCGCATCGACCACTCCACTGGTGTGTGTATTTATAACACTTACCACTAAATAAATGGCGAGGCTGAGAGCTTCTTCTACAGCCGCAGGAGGCCTGTGTCTGCTTTGCTGTTAAACATCACGTCGACATTTTTATTAATATCTTCCAAAATAATATTTACTTTATTAGTTTTCCATTCGTGTTAAACCCAAATACATCATTAGTGGACTGTTTTTTTGTTTGTTTGTTTGTTTTGTTTTTGCAGGTTCTAATTTAAAGCAACACAAAAACTTAATTAGTAAAATTTAACAATTTAACATCCCAATTCTACCTTATTATTCTTATTATTATTATTATTATTATTATTGTTATTATTATTATTATTATTATTATTATTAAAAGAAAATTACGTTTATTGGTTTATTTAGAATGCAAAAACAAGGAATTTGACTTCGGCGTCACGGTCATAGCGCACATATGTTAAATATATACTTTAAAGGAAATTTAAAGTAAAATAGAATAAACAGAAAATAAACAACAACAATAATAATTGGGTTTATTTCAGTTGTAGACCCTATATACGGTGTTTTATGTGGCTTTATTCAAAGAGGAAATGCAGCTCTTATTAAAATGAAAACACAGTAAGAAGCTGAAAGGCCGTTAAAAATGTCTCATTAAAGGAGCTGAGACTGAGAGGCTTCTTCCTTGATCGAATGAAAGCCAGAAGACTCGAGCTGCCAGCGGCCTGCAGGAAGGAGCAGCTCATTAGTGGGATCAGTTCTGTCCGAGAGCTCCGCTGCTCTGCCACCGCTCAGTTCACTTGTCCTGAAAGTAGGAGACGGTGCTTGTGTGGGAGGTAGGGGGGAGATGAGGTAGAAGGGGCGTGGTTTCTGGGAATGATCTTGAGGTGCGCCTCACGGACCAAGCTGTGATTGGCTGGCCCTCTCAGCAAGCGGCACGCGACTAGGGATGTTGCTATAAAGAATCCTCGCGTGGCCGATCTTCAAGTAAAACTTTGAACAGTGATCGTCCAGCCCAGATCAACAGGTTGGTGGAGGAGGAAAAGACGCCTTTGTTCCCGCAGCAGCAGGAGCCCAACATGGACGCTGTTCTGGATCCCTTCTCTGCGCTCGACTCTCTCTCCTCCCCTCCTTATTTTGACGATGACGACTTCTTCACGGACCAGTCCTCCAGGGACGGCCACTTGGACACCGAGGATTTTCTAGATGAAGATGTGGACTTCCTCAGCTCTCACCTCCAGGACTATTACAGCAAAGACGGCTGCGGCAGAGCGGCGCCCCACGATGGGGACTATGACCTCGGCAGCCTGTCATTCTCTTCCTCCTCCTCCACGTTTTCGTGCACCCCCGACCTGTCCCCGCAGACTGGCCGCCACGTCGGGCCGCTGATGAAGCGCCGCAGGCGGCTGCGCTCAGAGATAGAGATGCAGCAACTGCGGCAGGCGGCGAACGTCCGGGAGCGCAGAAGGATGCAGTCCATCAACGACGCCTTCGAAGGGTTGCGCTCCCACATCCCCACCCTGCCCTACGAGAAGCGGCTCTCCAAGGTGGACACGCTGCGCCTAGCCATAGGCTACATCAACTTCCTAGCTGAGCTCGTGCAATCTGATTTGCCAATCAGAAACTCGAACAGTGAGACACACGCGCAGCCAAAGAAAGTCATCATCTGCCATAGAGGAACAAGTGAGTCTGCTTATATTTCTACACCGTCAGTTGGATGGTTTTCTGATTGAGGATCCAGATGATGTTTCCGCTCTCTCCCTCAGGGTCTCCTTCTCCCAGTGACCCGGACTACGGCCTGCCCCCGCTGGCCGGCCACTCTCTGTCCTGGTTCGATGAGAAGCAGCTCCGGGAGCAGAACATCATCCGTACCGCAAAGGTGTGGACCCCAGAGGACCCCCGGAAACAACACCATACGGCCCTGACGGACATTGAAAACGAGCCTCCTTTCGGCCTGGTGGCCTGATGAGAAGCTCCGGAACCTCCTGATGCGCCTTCAGGAACCATGAAGCCATTATGTAAATGTCGAACTAGCACTGAAGTCGCAACCCCCTCAGCGCACTGTACGGCTTCCCAACCGGAATCAGTGTTACATACCTTTATCATGTTGATAATTGTGCTATTTGTAATTTCCCAGCTGGCAATCGTGTATTTATTATATTTTTTCTTACAGATGATAATATATATTTTAAATTAAATGCAGTGAGAGGAAACATGTTTTGTTTTGGTGTAAGCCGATTTGAGCACTTATTAAACAATTTGTTTTTTTACTGTGAAATATCAAAACGTTCGTCTGCTGCATATTTTTCAATAAAAACTGTAAAAATGATCAGGACAAATTTTGGACTTGGAATGTGAATTTGTTTTTGTAATTTTTTTTTTTTTTGCCTATTTTCCCACAGACTTCTCTCCAGTTTTTCAACTTTTGTTTTATAACGCTCTTATTATTTTTAGAGGTCTTGAAAAAGTGTGAACGTTTTCAAATAAACAAAATGAAGTCAAACTGAACTTCCTTACGTCATTTTTGAAATGAGCAGCTCCTCCAGCCCACATGCATGGATGATGACTGTTGGATAAAACATTCATGCGCGGCTTGGTTTTATGGAGTTGAACTGTGGCTGAAGATGGAAAAGAGGATGCAGGCAGAAAAGTCAAATTAGTAAATATGTCTATGACAGAAGTATGCAAATGAAGGGCTAATGAGCAGCCGGCCCAAACCCCCAACAGCTGAAGGTGTTAAGAGAGCAGAGGCGCAGCAGCACGGTGGGGATCCGCTGAATGCGGCTCTGTGCTGCCAGGTGCTGCCGGGACATATTTTCCCGTGGTAGTGTCCTCCTGCCCACAGTCGGCCCCGCTGCATCGACACACTGCAGCATAAATGAAGCAAACGGCTCTGAGCGTCCAGCACAAGCACAACGACGCTTCGCTGCAGAACTGCAGAGCTGAGCAGCTGAAGGCGGAGAGGGAGCGCAGCCTTCAGTGGTTTCAGGTGCGTTTGGATTCGAAATTAGATGTAATTCCTGGAATTACCCGGGTTTTTTTTTTTTTTTTTTTTTACCCTTATTTGACGTCTCTCTGTGCCTCTTCACTTCTGTGTCCCATGTTTTCACCGCCGCGCCTTGCATGAGCTCGTAATCCCACTAGGGGCCATTACAGAGTCACATGTTAGTGAGTCATTTCAGATTGACCCTTTCTTGACGCTGTGAGCGGATTCAAACTATGGCTGCATTGTTGTTGTTCGCACCTTTCCTACTTTGGACTCACAGTTTCATGCTTATCAGAGCGCCTCCACATCCTTTGGTCCGGCTGCAGTCAAGTGGAAGGGAGAAGCTGAAACAGTCCCGGCTATCATGTCGCTCTGCCTGTTACGGGCTTGGCAAGTCTTCTAAGAACAGCAGCATTTTACTACGTGACAGGTTTTATTCCCCTCAGAGCCGCTCTGGCCCAGGCTTTATGCGCCGCGCCAAGTATGCAGAGAAAGGCCCGGAACAGAGCTGAAAGGAAGGCCGCTGATTCACCGCAAAGCAGACTGCGGCATTCAGCTCTAAGATCTGCAAAGACAACAACAACAACAACAACAACAATAATAATAATAATAATAATAATAATAATAATAATAATAATAATAATAATAATAATAATAATAATTTACAGTGAAAGCAGAGTTTTATTTTTGTTTTTTTTCTAACACAACGCAGTAGATTTAGCAGATTTTCCTCTTGTTCCGCCGTTTTTCTGTCCGGAAATGTCCCTGCTCGACTGACTCTTTTTTTTTCTTTTTTTAAATTGTTCCCTCTGTTTCAGATGAACTTGGCCTGGTTGAAGCGGCGCTGTGGGACTCCGCAGTTTACGCACCAGGAAACAACACGTGAACTTTGCTTCTCACTGCTTTTCAAAGGACAATGATTGTTATGTTCACTGCCCATCACTGGGGTGATGAAAGAAACTCCACGAAGCTCCTCTGCTTTCTTTACGCTTCCAGGAGAGCGAAGTTAAACTCCTCATCTGCACCAATTCTGTTAAATCCGCTTTACGGCCGCATGTTGGCGCACCGGGGGAGACGCTGAACAAGAGACACAAATCAGCTTGATTTGCAGATCATCTCGCGACGGTGGCAGAGTCTTTGGGTTTGGGAGGGGGCTTACCTCAATACTCTTCATCTACAGCCTGGCATTAAAACTGACCAAAATCACACCTGATCAGAGCTGTCCGCCACTCTCACTGCGCTTTGGGTGGCTCACCCGTCGCTGTCCGGCCTTAAAAGTATCTTTATGGGCTTCCCCCTCATCCTGCTGCAGGCCTGTATCTCTGGGAAAGCACCTGGTAGCAGAAACTTTGTCTCTTTTCATTTCCTTGCGTCCGGGTTCCCTGGACAGCAGCTGCCTAAAAGCAAGCAAAGAGTGGCCCTTGTAGTGTATTCGAGATGGATTTGGCACCGTGTTCCGCGTCTTTAAAGTTCCATTAGCCATTGTCCACGATACAATATGGCCGCTGTAAAGCATGACGTTTTGCAATAACAAAAAACACATTTTCATTTGTGGTACAGTGGAGTGAAAGCGCAGCGCTTTCGTGGCCCAGCCAAGCCAAACGTGTCCCTGCGTTTGCTTTGTGCCCCGCAGCCAATTAACAGCGAGTTCTTTGAGCTGCGCCGCGATAAGCCAGTTTAATTTATGTCTTCTATTTTTTTCAGGACAGAAAGGAGGTGGATTTGGCAATTTTCTTGTCATCACCTGGTGCTTTCTTCACAAGAGTGTAAACTATCCTGGGTGTCTCCAGAAACATATGGCTCTCAGCACCGTGCGCCATTGTATCCTGCGTTGATCACTCATTACCATCATGTAACAAATCCTTTATTAGCTCTGTTTTGTGTCATATTTTCATCCGGTAGATTAAGCAGATGCTGCGATTGTACAATCCGAGCTGTAGGGCTACTCAAGACTGAAAAGGAGACGGGCACTCGGTTATGGGAGAGGCGAAGAGAAAAGCAACAGGCACATCTTCAGAGGAATAAAACATTTAGGAGCCATAAACAGACTTCAACCTGCTCTGTTTCAGCCTTTGTGTTGTTTGGGAATAATTAATGTTAATAGGGACAGGTTTGTATCATTTGAATGCAGGACCACAGGTGCAGAGTGACAAGATGAATAAGCAGCACTGATTTTTGCCAAAGCTCGAGGGCTCTTGTCCAGGGTCTCCAAGTTGATAGAAAATATTGTAATCTCTTTGATTCGCAGCATTACTTTCACAGAGAACAAAGCGTGGAGATGAAAAGCTTATGTTGAAGTGAAACGGCCAGTGACGGTGGCCGCTTCACACTCTGAAAGGAAAAGGGAAGGGGGCGAGTCATTGGCAATGCGCGCTCCTGGTTTTGTGCGCAAGTGCTCCATCTAACTCAAATAAAGGAGCCTTTCCAACTTTTAAAGGACCACTTTTAGCCTTTAATAAAGACTGAACGGCTGTAGCCATTAAGCATATGGTGCTAAGGCGCTGGTCTTTTGTCCCTGCAGAACCCTTGAGATCCTAACTTTCGTTCTTTATGGGAAATTGAACTTGTTGAATAATCCAGCTTAATGCACCAAAGGCAACATGTGGCACCGGGGCGCACAGACAGGTCCTCCCTTCAGGGGAACATCAAGAGGCTAATAAAGGAACCGAGTAGTGTGCGTTTAGATGGTGGTTTAATTTGTGTTAGTCCTGACGAGATCAACTTTCTTGGCTGAGGAGAATGAAACATTTGGCAAACTAAACGTGGATGATCAGCGGCTGAAAGCACCGACCAGAACTGAAGCATAAAGCGACGAGGACTCGTTTGTCTTGTTATATAGATGCTTCAGCGTAATAAACTGTGGCTCCCCCCTCCCTTTGTGTCAGTCATGTTTTATCAAAGCAGTAATAATCGGGTCACACTTTCATTGAATGTCTCATAGTTCAGAAAACCGTTCTGAACTAAGGATGCCTCCTACAACAGCGTGGCGTCTGCATTTCCCGGTGGTTCTGACTTCTCCGTGTTCATGCGTAAAACCTTCAGGCCTCTTCCGATTTTTTTTTTTTTTTGTTTCAACAGTGCACGCGCGTTGCTCCCCAGGATCTCGCGTGTCTGAAAGAAATTTGCGGAATTCAGAAATAAGACCGCATGTAGCGGCGCGTCCAGATTCTTATAGAAGCTGGACGATTCTATAGGAAGCGCTATGCTTTGATAGCGGAGCAGTAGAGGCTCCGCTATCAAAGCATTCTGGGATTTATTTAGCGGACTTCTAGCTGTTTTCCGCTCTTTCATATTTCAGTAGAATGCTTCTTTCTCGGGTGCATTTTAGGCTGTTATCGTTGCGTTTCAGCAGTTCCAGCATGCAGATGTCCATGTGTGGTGTGGATGTGTGTGACGGAGCCAGTTGGCCGGCTCTGGCCTCTGAAAACCCTCCTGGTGGACTGAACACGCCGGGCTGACCTCTGCGCCGGAGGACGGGGATGCGCTTTTCAACGAATTAGGCAGAAAGACGTCTCGCTATGATCTTTGTTTCGCTGAAAGCCGGCTGGATATGGAAGGCATTATGCACAGCTTTTGGGTGCCCCATCATAAAATATTATAGTCTTTTCACATAAGAGGCTCATTTGAAAGCGGAATGAAGCAGACTGGACAGATTTCAGAAAGCCGTAAATTCAGAAAGGAAGCCATTTATCTGCAGGTGGGAACTTATATCTGACTGAGGATTTGAATGTTCTTAGAAAAAATCTTCCACATTTTGACAAATGATTGAATTTCTGTCTCTGACTCTATAAATCCCCGAATAACTCAACAAAAAAGTGATGAATTGCTAATATGCAAATTGTAGTCACGGCCGTTTGGACGTGTGCTTCCCCATCCATCTCCCACATTCTGCGATGCTGATTCCCGTCGCGCGCAAGCGGACTCTCAACCCGTTCAGACCGGGGGGGCTTTTGTTTGCCCCCTGCACCCCACAACCTCCACCCCCATCGCCTGCGCTGTCAGTTGCCAGGATTCAGAGGTGTAAAAGCATGCATCATTTTTCACCAGCTCTCCGTTCTGATATCGACAAAGGCCTGCGCTCTGGAGCAGCCTCTCCGCTTGTTCCCTGGCTTGAACTTCACTGATATCCAACTGCTCCCTTTTCCTCGCCTGAACGCAGCGCAGCGGGGATGGATTTGCAAGACAAATGCAGCTGTGTGTGAGAGAGAAAGTCAAGTGGCACAAAAAGACCATTTCAGTCAGGCGATGGGATGGAGAAAGTTAGTATTATGTGGGCGTCAAATCAATCAAAAACAAAAGACCACATGCAGAAGATCTGCTTCTGGATTTAGACTTGGGGTTGA